TATGTTTGGCATTTCATGGGATGTTCAGTGCTCTTTCCAATACCACAGATCAAAGGAATCAATTCCTCTTCTGTTATCCTTATTCATTGACCAGTTTTCAGATGCATAGCAAGTGAATGGAAAGATCATGGCCTAAATCACACACGTATCTCCAAAAATCACACCGGAGTGTCAGAAAGTCAAAACAAAGGGAAGCCATGCCAAAGTAAAAGATGAACAGAAGATTTCAAAGGGCAGCTTGACAGGACAAAGACAAGTATTATAATGGAAGGAGCAGAGAGCTGGAATTGGAGAATTGTTGTTGTTGTTAAGTGCCGTCGAGTCAGGCTACTCATAGTGACCCTATGAATGAAAGTTCTAAACACTTGTGTGACTTTCATCGTTTCTCCAGGTTCTTAGGGTTTCCAGAGGCCAGCTATTATGGAAATTGATGCCACTCCTGCTTCCAAGCTTGTTTTAATCAGGGAGCGCCATCAAACACTGTCTACCATGGGTGACCATTAACGCATTTGACACATCAGTGTCACAGTGTTCGGCTTCGCAACAACCACTAGTTTCCTCTGTATGGCAAGTGGACATACCAGGGCTATATGACCATTCTGGCATGGCCAAATGCTGGCAACCTCTGGGCCAGAGACCCCCAGTTCATCTGGCAGTCTGCTCTGCCAATACCCACTTGTGGCAAAAAGAAAGCCATAAGCGCCTGAGCGTTCCATCCTGGCCTCTCTTCCAGAAGGGAAAAATTTGCTCTGCATTTCTCAAGCTGAGAGAATTGAAAAACAAATTTAAACCTCAAGTCACAGGGTTGAAAGATGCTATTGGCAACATATTGAATGACCCTAAAAACATCAAAAGAAGATGGAGGGGATACACAGAATCACTGTACCAAAATGACCTGCTTGATGGTAAAAAATTTCACGAAGTACAATATATCAGGAGCCAATGGTAATGAAGGAGGAAATTAAAACTGCACTGAAGGCATTGACAAAAAATGAGGCCCCAGAATTGGAAGGATATCAATTAACTTGTTTCCATTACCAGATGCAGCTGTGGATATGCTCACTAGTCTATGCCAAGAAATTTGGAGGACAGCTGCGTGGCCAATGGGTTGAAAGAGGCCCATATTTGTTTCCATTCCCCCAAAAGGTGATCTAACAGAATGTAGAAACGATTAACAATATCATTGATATCACATGCCAACAAAATACTGCTGAAGATCATTCAAAAATGGCTAGAATAGTAGATAGGGAATTAACAGAAGTTCAAACAGGATTTAGAAGAGGCCATGGCACCAGTAATATCATTGCTGATGTCAGGTGGATCCTGGGTGAAAGTAAAAAGTAACAGAAAAATATCTACTTGTGCTTTATTGACTATGCAAAGGCATTTGACTGTGTGGATTATAAAAAGTTATGGCTGACATTGAGAAGAATGGAATTCTCAGAGCACTAACTGTGCTCAATGTAAAAACCTATACCTGGACCAGGAAGCTGTTGTGTGAATAGAGCAGGGAAACACTGAATGGTTTAAAATTAAGAAGAAAGTGCATCAAGGTTGTGTTCTCTCTCCATACCTAGTCAATCCATATGCTAAACAAATTATTCAAGAAATTGGACTCTATGAAGAAGATTGTGGCATCAGGATCAGAGGGAGACTCATCAATAACCTGCGTTATGCAGATGGCACAACATTGCTTGCTGAAAGTGAGGAGGACTTGAACCACTTGTTGCAGAAGATCAAGGAATTCCGCCTTTGGTATGGATAGCATCTCAAAGTCAAGAAAACAAATATCCTTACCACTGGACCAGTAAGTAATACTACGATGGATGGAGAAGATTTTGAAACTTTCAATAACTTCCTACTTGAATCCACAATGAAGACCCCTGGTACCAGCAGTTAGTCTCCTCATAAGGAGACACATTGTACTGGGAAAGTCAGCAGTTAGGGACTTCTCCAAATTATTGAAGAGTAGTGATGTCAGTTTGGGGACTAAGCTGCATCTGATTTAGGCGATGATCTTTCAGATCACTTGCTATGTATATCACTGAGTTTTAAAGTTGTACTTAGTGAAAGACAGGAACAGTATGTTTTTTATCTTCCCAGAAGAAAAAGTCTTTGTTGTTTGTTTGTTTTTAATAAAATTTTTATTTTATACTGGTTTACTTACAAAATTCATATACGTTGTTTTTCACACCAGATCTTCCCTTTTCCTTTACCCATCCCTCCCCTCCACCAATCAAACTGTGTGACATTATTATTAAGCAAACCCTCCACCCATCCTTGCCCCTCTGCATCTCCCTACCCTCTTTGGATCCTTGTCACATTCTACAATAATGGTCTTATACAATATTTGTCCTTATGGGACTAAGTTAATTCACTTATGGTACACACACAAAATATAATAATTAAAAAACCCTGCACATCCATGTTTATTGCGGCTTTGTTCACAATTGCAAAGAGTTGGAAACAACCTAAGTGCCCATCAACAAACGAATGGATAGAGAAGCTGTGGTATAGTCACACAATGGAATACTATGCTGCACTGAAAAACAAGGAACTCATACAATATTATTCAAAATGGGTGACCCTGGAGAATATTATGCGGAGTGAAATATCTCAGTCACAAAAGGACAAATACTGCATAGTGTCACTGTTGTAAAAATGGGACTGACCTTGGGGTTGGAGGGAGACTGGGAAAGATGGGATAAATAATGTACACTGTATTGAAACAGATGAGGGAGAAAATTGTTTAAAAGGGATATATGATTAGGTATTATTGTCACGACAGGACTCCAGAATGAAGGCTGTATGGTGGAGTGAACCTGGGGGGAGGGACTGTATAACAATGAAAGAATTTTTCTTTTACTTTTTAAAGGGAAGTGGGAACTGGGGGTAGAGGGGTGGGCAGGGAGGAAAGTGTAACAATGAATGAATGGAAATCCAAATCTCTGTAAATTTTCATTAAAATTAATAATAAATTTTTTAAAGTGTGTATAAAAAAGAACAAACAAACAAACCCCAAAACCTATTTCCAACAGGGTGAAAACAAAACCTACTGACTGGGAAAAAAACATTTGGCAATACTGTCTCAGACAAGTGTCTCATAACAAGTTTACAGAATACTCCTTGGCCTCCACAAGAAAAAGATTGATAATATAATTACAAAATGGGCAAGAGACATGGAAAGACTTTTCACGGAGGAGGATATTTGGATGGCCAACAGACACATTGAGAAATTCTCAAAATCACTGGCAATAAGAGAGATACAACTCAAAACCACAATGAGGTATCATCTTATCCCAGTAGCAGTGGTAAAGTTTAGCAGGGCAGCAAGTAATAAATGTTGGAAACATGGTGGCAAGATAGGAACTCTTATACATTGTTGGTGGGATTTAAAACGTCTTTAAACTTAAAAAGCCTTTCAAGTAATTCTCTACATTCTATCTTTAGCTTAATTTTCAGAGTTTTAAATATGGTCAATTCCTGAGCCTTTATAAGGTAAACCAGGCTATTTTTGGCAGGAGCAGCATCTACTGCCTAAACAACATGCCTCTGGAACTCTATGAATTTTTATAAATGACGACAGTTAGAGAAAGGCATCAGGCCTTTTGTTCATACGGTTGCTATGAGTAGCGCTTGACTTGACGGCAATCAACAACAACAACAGGGCACAGTAGAAAGCTCTGGTGGCATAGTGATAAGAAGCTGCACTACAATCTCAAAAGCATGAGGTTTGAATCTAGCAGTTGTCCTTGGGAGAAAGATGTGTTACCTCCTCCCTTATGACTTATTGCCTCTGAAAACCCACCAGAGGATCTGCTAGGGTCAGTTATGACTCACGGGTCCCTCAATAACAAACAATAAGACATAGTGAGGATGGCAGAGGTTCTGATATGTTGTTGATAAAGTCCTTATCAGTCAAAGTTGACTCTATGGCACCTAACAACCACCACTACCAATTTATGACTCAAATTTTTTAGTTAGCACTGTTGTTGTTGATTGCTGTTGAGTCGAGCATGACTCATAGTGACCCTATGAACAAAAGACTGGAACCTTTTCTATAACTATCGTCATTTTGTCTAAGTTCATAGAGTTTCCAGAGGCATGTTGTTTAGAAAGAGGATGCCTCTCCTGCTTCCAAATCTGTCTTAATCTTGGAGTTCCACCAAACACTGTCCACCATGGGTAACTGTTATATCATTTGACACACCAATGGCACAGGGTTCAGCATCACAGCAACCCCAGGTTACCTCAGCACAGCAAATTGACAGACCAGTGCTAGACCACTAAATCAATTATTGTTTATCAGCCTTATGCTTTCTAAATTTTGTTGCTGTTGTCTCTTTTCCTTTTTTGTCTTAGATTTCTTTTTAAAAATTTCTTTAATTTAGTGGAGAGCTCTGGAGACAAACAGGAAAGTACATTTTCAGAGAGGAGGGAAAAAACCTCAAGTGAGAATGGCAATGAGAAACACTGGATGAACAGCAAGAAATACTGGAAACTCAAAGACAACGGAATAACATTTTCTAAATTTTAAGCAATCTAGAATTCATATAACTAGTAAAATTATCACATTTATATGAAGGTATTACAAAGGCATTTTCAAGTACGTAAACCTCAGTTTTATCAGCATTGTGTTCTTATCTGTAACGCTATCAGATAAATATTTGGCTAAAATGCTAACATACACCAAGAAAAAGAAATAAAGTGGGGGAAATACATTATTTGCACAAATTATTGTGACAATAACTCTAGAATGATGATAGAGGGAGATCCCAAAACTATACATCTAGTAGGTGACTTGATGGCACATAACAAAAACAAACGGTAGATCTTTGTTGAATCAGAGCCAAAAATCTAATAAATAGACCAATAATTAAGAATATTTATCAGAAGGATGCAAAATACACATCATCCAAATACAAAAATAAAGTTTTCTGCAGTGTTAAAAGAGTTCTTAATTCCATTCAAAGAATAAATATCAGGTAAAAATTATTTACCTCAACCAGTATACCAACAAAAGGGATAGATGTTTCTTCATATTTCACAAAGAATAATTCAGGATTAGTCTTCCAGACTCCAAGCCATTTATCTTTCAATTTTAATTTTTCTAATAGGTATTTGCTCATAGCTTCATCGGCATCTTCTGCCTAGCAAATATAGAAACATATCTAAATACATGAAATTAAAGATCCATAACTAAGAAATTTTATTAAATAAATTTACAAAATATTTATTTAAACATGGAACCAATACAAGTTTAAATAATCAAAACCCTGGAAATTGCAGATTTTAACTAAAGATACATTTTATGGAAAATATCATTATTAAAAATGAAACTGGAATGAGGTCATTCACTCAAAAGAATAATTCAGAGATGAAACACTTTATTATTTAATATCTACAAATAATTTATTACCCCACTAAGCAGAAAGACCTGTAACTATGTAGTCATCCCCCAAAATCATGAGGGATTCAATTTGGATTTCAGAAGATTAAAGAAAAATCCACAGATGTTAAAGTCCCTTATATAAAATCTAGTATTTGTATTAACTTTAACTTACATTCTTCCATATACTTGAAATCATCTTTAAGTTACTTATATAACATCTAGTTAAATATAAATGCTATCTATATAAATATAATTTTACTGTCTCTTAAACTTTGAGATATTGTTTTAATCACTGAATTGTTTCTCCTTGACAAAAGATTTTCTTTCTGAAGTTGGCTACATCTGTGAGTGGATATGGAGAGCTCTTACTAGATATTAAAAACACAGTATTTATTAAAAAGGGTGCTATGGTGGGCTACTGGTAAGGACTTGAACTGCCAATCCAAAGACTAATGGTTCAAATCTACCAACTCCTGTGGAGGAGAAAGATGAGTGATCTCCTCCTGTGTGATTTACAGCTTATGAAAACATACTGGAGGGTCAGCTATGAGTCAGTTTCAACTAACCAGCACCTAACAACAATTATAAAAAAATTTGTTGCTGTTGTTGTTAGGTGTTTCTGAGTTGAGTATGACTCATATCGACCCTATGAACAGATTTGAACAGGGGTCCCTGATCCTCTATGTACAGCAAAATGAAACACTACCAAGTCCCTTATAAAGAAATTGGCTACTATTTTTGAACCATTGTTACAGCCACTGTCTTAATTTTGTTGAGAGCCTTCCTCTTTTTTTTTTTGTTAACCTGTTACTTTACCATGCATGATGTCTTTCTCTACACACTGGTCTCTCCTGGTAACATGTAAAATTCTATTAGAAAGAGCCTTGTGTGATCTTAACTTCCAAGAAACATTCTGGCTACACTTCTTCCAAGACAGATTTATTCATTCTTCTGGCAGTCTAGCATATATTTAATATTCTTTGCCAATATCATGATCCAGACATCAATTCTTTATCTTTCTTTTTTGTTGTTCAGCTTTTGAATGCATATGAGGCAATTAAAAAATAGCATTTGTCAGTCATATTTTAGTCCTGAAAGTGATATCTTGGCTTTTTAACACATTTTAAAGGTTTCCTTTTTGGTCCAAGTATAGGTTTCGCATTAACACAATCAAATGCTCTGGGATTCCCATTCTTCTCAGAGTCAGCCATGGCTTGTTGTGATCCACATAGTCAAAAGCCTTTACATAGTTGATGAAGCACAGATAGACATTCTTCTGGTATTCTCTGCTTTCTGCCAAGATCCATCTAATATTAGCTATGATATCACTAGTACCACGACCTCTTCTAAATCCAGCCTGCACATCTGGCAGTTCTCTGTTGACATATTGTTCCAAATGTTTTTGGGTAATTTTCAGCAGAATCTTGCTTGCATGTGATATCAATGATATTGTTTGATAATTTCCACACTCTGTTGGGTCACCTTTCTTTGGGATGG